AAAAAAAAAAAAAAAAAAAAAAAAAAAGCCACAAACTAGAAGACAATGGAACAATACCTTCAAAATTCTGACAGAGGTGAATTCCCTGGCGGTCCAGTGGTTAGGACTCCTTGCTTTCACTGCCGAGAGCGTGGGTTCAATTCCTGGTTGGGGAACTAAGATCCCACAAGCCACATGGCATGGCAAAAACCCAAAAAATTCTGATAGAAAAAAATATTCTCAACCTAGAATTTTATAGCCAGCTAAACTATCATCCAAGTTTAAGGATAATAAAGACATTTTCAGTCATTTTGTGCATATGCCCTCTGATATTGTGATATAATAAGAAATATGTTTTTGGTCTTTGTCCCTGGTTCCTGGCACAGAGCTCCTAAAATCATTATAACTTCTGAGTAGTAGGGGTAATAAGACCATCTTTTGTTGTAATATTTGCCCTTTGTTCTCAGTTCCTGACACAAGAGCTTCTAAAAACCTTGGAATTTTCTGAGTGATAGGGGTAAGAGGAGAAGTCAGCTAAGTTTACACTAATGAGGTAACTCTTTGTGGGCCCCTAGGTAGCTTCAGGTTGGGAGCTGGTTGCCAGAAGAACCAACCATGTAATCAGAGGGTTGGAACTTTCAGCACCACCTCTCTGCCTCTGGGGAGGGGAGAGGGGCTGGAGATTGAGTTGATCACCAATGAGTTAATCAGTCATGCCTACAGAAAAATCCCATTCTAGCAAATTATCAAACCTGAAGAGGAGATTTTGGGGACACCTCCCCCACCCTGACCTTATAGCTGACGGGTCAGAAGTATGAGTGGCCCAGTTAGCATCTGAAGCAGGGGCAGTCTGGTGGGACTGAGTCCTTAACCTGTGGGGTCTGCACTAACTCTATGTAGTTAATGTCAGATTTGAATTAAATTGTAGGATACCAATTGGTGTCTGGAAAGTTGGAGAATTGGTTGGTGTGAGAACAAAGCCCACACATATCGTGAAAGAAGTGCTGTGAGTTAAAAACAGCTTATAGTACACCCTTTCTTAGGAAGCTCTGCTAGAAGACACTTTTCACCAGAACAAGGGAATAGTAAAGAAGAGGACTAAATGGGATCCAGGAAACAGGAGTTCCAATATAGGCAAGGGGAAAGGAATTCCCAGAAAGACAGTTCCAGTATGGATGTCACAAGAACAAACTGATAGGGTACCTGATGGAACATATTAAAGGGAGTTGTACACTTTATTATTATCTTCAGGGAAAACAGAAATTATACCAACAAAGAAATGTAATCATAGTATACATCCTGGCTTGTCTACAAATAGTATTCACGTAGATCTAATAATGCAATTCTTAATGTTAATTTGACCAAAATTTGGCATAATTCTATGGGAAAATGGAGATAGTATGTGAAGTAGTATGTGAAGAGAGCATGTCAGAGCAAAATCCTAATCTTCCATCATAAGAATTAAATATGTAACGTAATAGTTATATTTTGCCACATAACAAATTACCCCAAAACTTAGTGACTTAAAATAACAGGTATTTATTGTCTCACAGTTTCTGTGGGTCAGGAATTCAGAAGCAGGATTTGAGAAGCTCTCATGAGGTTACAGTCCAGGTGTCACCTTGGGCTGCAGTCATCTGGGCCTCTCAGGATATGTTGTTATCTGGCTTCCCTGAGAGCATGTGATCCAGGAGAGACAATTAGAGGAATTTGCAGTGTGTTATATGACCTAGCCTTAACGTGACATCCCATCATCACTTCTGCTACGTTCCATCAGTCACAGAGACCAACCCTGAGACATTGTGGGAGGGACCTGCACAACATGAATACCAGAAGGCAGGGATGAGTGGGGAGCTGTTTGGAGGCTGACTACCACAAGTAATAACTAAAAGTGAAAATTCAAGAAATAATATTAGAGGCATATTACTTAGAAAGATAGAGATAAATACCAGAAGAAAGTGGCTGCCCCGGGAGCAGAAATCAGGGAACCAGAAACTTCTGGTTTTCGTTATAAGCCTTGTAGAACAACTTTAAGAAGTATTTGCATTTATTACTGTGATTTTTTTTTTAATTATGAAAAACCCTCAAAGCATGCAGCCATTTAATGTCCCCAACACTGGTAGTAGGACAACACATGGATTATATGAGGAACTCCTAGAATCTGAATCTAGTAAGGATCCTTTGGTATTTGGATGGTTGTGTGCTTGATCTTGAAGGACAGTTTACAGATAATAAACCTAAAGTTCAGTGAAAAAGAGGACATAGTGACAGAACCTGAGCTAGAATCCTTGAATAAATACGACACAAAGAGATGAGCATCAGATAGTGAGATGGCTCTGGCATTTCACTAATGTGGAACTTAGGTGAAGGGGAGGAAAAAAAAGACTGTTTGCTCTTTCTGAAGAGTAGAAAATTCTGAAGTGGAAATGTTTATGTGTCTTGGAGCTATAAATGGCAAAGTTAAAGGGAGTTTCCTTTTGGCAGATAGTTGGAAAGCACTTTACGGAGCTCCCCAGGCTAAGGATGTGTTCCTGAGCATTTGGTACAAGTTAGAGAGTCTGCCTCTGTCCACATGAGCCCTGCAGGCCATGCAGAGCACTGGCCAGTCCACAGCCCCAGTCCTTCCAGCTGCTGCTGCCAGGGTCATGTTTCTTAGAGGACTCTGGGCTCCTTGTGGTCTACCACAGCCTGGTTGGTGCCCAGGGACCCCCTAACATCTGTGCCCACAATGCCTCCTCTGTCCTTGATCCCCACATGCACCCCCTATTCAAGCTTGGTCTTGTTTCTCCTCATCTTTTCCTGTCACTGTTTACTCTTCTGGAGGAGCCTACTGTTAGGTGCTTCGGCGTTCTTGGCCACTTTGTCTCTTCCATCTGCCATCTAATAAAATTGGAATCAGGATAAAGTGTTCAAGAAATCAGGTCTTTGAGTTGGTGGGGGGAGTTTGGAGGGGTGCAGTGAAGATTGCCATATAAATAAATATAATATAATGCCTCATGAAAATGTGTTGTCTACATTCTCCTACTATAACCGTGTATGTTGAGTTTAAAATACTTCAAGGTCTCCATGAAAAGCCTCAGCTATCACGTCCTGGGATGCCTTCAGTACCACTCCAGTGGGCGTAGAGTTGAGCTGTGGAAGGGGCAGGGTGGGTTTTTGTACTTGCATTCCTCAATATCTGTCTTTGTATTTTACTTTGCCCGCAGATTGGGGACCACAAATTCAGTGCTCACCGGATCGTCTTAGCAGCCTCAATCCCGTATTTCCACGCTATGTTTACAAATGACATGATGGAGTGCAAGCAGGATGAGATTGTAATGCAAGGAATGGACCCAAGGTACTAAATTCCTCCATCAGGTTTCACAACCTGCTTTCTAGGTGCAGTTTCAGCCTTGTGTTTGGTGCCCTTTGAGGGCCTTCCAGCAGGACCCAGTATCAAGCACAGCTCCACACACACAGTAGGTGACCAGTAAACAAGCTAGAACCTCAGCCAGTGGCCTGAGACAGGGTTAAAATAAGGAGAGTTTTGATGTGTTTTAACTCAATGAGAGTAACACGTCTCATAGGAACTAGAGTCCAAGATATGTTTTTAAAACTAGGACTGGGTACAAAGTTGGTGGTATATTATTCTCTTCACTTTTCTGTGCTAACCTTTCTAGCTGGCAGACTAGTCTTTCAAATAAGTGCCTTCATTCATTACCCTTCCCATCAGTCCAGAACAGTGTTGTCCACTGTTGTCCAACTTCCTGCCTCGATGGAGATGTTCTGTTTGTCCTCTCCAAATTGGTAGCCACTAACACATGTAGCTGTTGAGCACTTGAAATGTGACTAGTGGGACTGAGGGACTGAATTTTAAACATTATTTAATTTTAATTCATTTCAATTTAATTTTAGGGGAATTCCCTGGCAGTCCAGTTGTTAGGACTCCATGCTTTCACTGCCGAGGGCCTGGGTTCAATCCCTGGTCAGAGAACTAAGATCCTGTAAGCCACGCAGTGTGGCCAATAAATAAATAAATAAGTAAATAATACATAATAGTAAATTTAGTTTTAATTAGCCACGTGTGTCTACTGGCTGTTAATGTGATGACGCAGGTTGAGAAGGTAGCAGAAATCATGGTTATCTGATGGGTGAGAAAACTGAAGCCCAGGACTTCCCTGGTGGAGCAGTGGTTAAGAATCCGCCTGCCAATGCAGGGGACACGGGTTTGAGCCCTGGTCTGGGAAGATCCCACATGCCGCAGAGCAACTAAGCCCGTGCACCACATCTACTGAGCCTGCACTCTAGAGCCCACAAGCCACAACTGCTGAGCTCGCGTGCCACAACTGCTGAAACCCGTGAGCTCTAGGGCCCATGCTCCGCAACAAGAGAAACCACGGCAATGAGAAGCCTGCTCACCACAACGAAGAGTAACCCCCACACGCTGCAACTAGAAAAAGCCTACGCGCAGCTATGAAGACCCAATGCAGCGAAAAAAATAAATAAGTAAAATTTAAAAAAGAAGAAAACTGAAGTCCAAGGAGGTCAAGCCCAGAGTTTATCCCTCTAAACGTCTTTCAGTGTCCCAGAAAGCCCTCCATAATGGAATCATTGGCTCCAAATGTCAGTAGTGCTGAGGTTGAGCAATTCTGCCCTAGATGAGTTTTAGGGTCAGGAGGCAGTACTATAAACCCTGAAATTGCATCATTTACACACTTACTTAAAGTTATCCTTACATCTAGACCCTCTTTACAGAAATACTTTCCTGACTTCTCTATGAAGGCTTTATATAAACATTCCACATTATGCCTTTTGGGGCCTTGAAAGGAAAAAGGCATATTTATATGACTTAAAAGATTTTACTGCAAGTCTGTGAACTGAGGCTGTGTGTTTATAACCTAGGCTACATCCAAGGGTCCACTGTGCACCTACTATGTACCTGGCATTGTTCTGGGGTCTGGGCATGCAGAGCAAACAGGACACGCAAGATGATTCTTGTTGGGAGAGAGACAATAAATAAACCAATGACTCCAAAATATTAGCCAGTAAGCTGTCATTTGTTGCCTAACGTCTTAATCTCCCCGTGGTGAAAACTTGAAGGAAAGGAGCTAGGAAACTGTATGGTACCTTCCGGTTGATTGAAGGTGATTTTGCTCCAGTACATGGAGAGGATCTGTATACCCACTGCAAGGGTGCAATCTCAGGCCAGCTACTTGTAATGAAAGACATAGAAGTGTGTCTATATCCAAGGGCAGTTGTACACTCTCATCTCTGAGGTCTGTGTCTGACAGAGCCATGCTAATCACGATGCAGCGTCCAAGTGCTTCATTTAACAGATAGACTGAGAACCTGTGATCTGTGCTGCTGTAGGTACTGAGGTATAGTAGAGGAAATAGAAAGCACCTCTTATTATTCCAGCTTGCTAGTAGTGGCCATCTGGCAGTAAACAAATACATACATGATATGGCCGGGAAGTGAAAGTGATGTGAAAAAAGTAAAGCAGAAAAAGGCTAGCGAATGATGGTGAGGGTCTGTGCTATTTCAGGGTGATCAGGAAAGCCCTCTGTGATGAGGTGATATTTAAGCCAAGACCTTAGTCGGAGTGAGGGAGCAAGACATCTGGGGGAGGAGCCATTCAAACAGGGAGTATGCAGTGCAAAGGCCCTGAAGTGAGAGTGTGTTCAGCATATTGGAATAGAGTGAGGGGGAAAGAGTGGAAGGTGATGAGGTCAGAGAGATGGAAAGGGGCCAGATCACATACAGCCCTATAGACAGAATTTGGATTTCATTCTTGGTGTGAATTGGAAGGCAGAAAAAAATGTTGGAAACCTCAGGCTGGAAACTTATCCCAAAGAAATAATACAAAAATGTTATTTATAAAAGCTATTATGCTTACCAATAAAGGAAATAAATTATAGCACATTTACATGTTGGATTACTGTATAGCAGCCGTTGAAAATGTCAAACATGGGGAGTTCCCTGGCGATCTAGTGGTCAGGACTCAGCATTCCCACTGCCATGGCCCACATTCAATCCCCGGTCGGGGGGAACTGAGATCCCACAAACCGCGTGGCATGGCCAAAAAAAGAAAGTTGAACATGAAGTCAGTGTAGAAACATGGGAAAGGGCTTCATAAGTATTACATGATTATATCCATACAACTTAAGCATGCAGGCAAATAGGAAATGGAAATTAATCTAGAAAAATGACTACAGTTGACTCAGTAGTGAGATTCTGGGTCATTGCTTTGTCTTTTCAGAACCTTCTATAATAAAATCATTTGGGCAGTAAAGAAAACCTAAGAAGTAGAATGATAGCTGTGGTGAAGTAATTATTCCATTCAGGTAGATTCTCAAAGGGCATGGGCTAAATGTATTTGAGAGCGGGGCCCATCCGTTCCTCAAGTAACAATGTCAGCTTACTTAGGGCCTGAGTATCCTGTGGGCCGAACACCATCTCTGAAGAGCATCTGTCCTCTTTCCTCTAGCGCCCTGGAAGCTCTGATCAACTTTGCCTACAACGGTCACCTTGCCATTGACCAGCAAAATGTCCAGTCGTTGCTGATGGGGGCGAGTTTCCTGCAGCTGCAGAGCATCAAAGACGCCTGCTGCACATTCCTCCGAGAACGGTGAGGTGATGTGATGGGCCTGGCCTGTGTCGGGGAGCAGACCGTGTCATTTCTGGGATCCCCTGCCAGTTTGCTGAGTCTTTGGGGGCATGGAGAGTCTCATGAAGGGAGTGAGATGGGAAGATAACTGCGGAAATGACCTTTCTTGAAATCAATATCAAGCAGCACCCAGCTCTTTGGGATGAACCTTTCAGGAACATGATTTATGGAGCCTTGCCTGCACTCTCCCTTGGTCTGACATGCACCTCTTCTTCTGGTCCTCTCTGTCCAATCTAACCAGCCACCACCAGATTTATTCAGTGCTCCCTAACTGTTCCATAGCTGTCTCCCTCTTTGTTTAGATCCTTCTCCCTCCTTGAATTTCTTGGCCTTCCTTTTTCCTTCTGCTCTGCAAGAGCCCACCCAAATTTCACCTCCTGGAATTCTCTGTCCCCTTCAGTCCCCTGGGAGCAATCATTATATGCTCCTTTAGAGTAAGGACCATGGATTATACCCCTACCTATGTCCAGTACTTGGCCATGACCTTTTGAGGACTGAGCAGGTAAGAAGGCTCTTCTCCCTGTCAAGAGGCAGAGCTCTTAGTCACAAGGTAAAAGCCGCCTTTAACCACTAGAGGCTTGGGGGTGAGGGTTAGTGCTGGGCTACACACAGGCAGGGAGAAACCAGAACAGTGCCCCTCTGTCTGTGGTCTCTCCAAAGCCTGGCTCCGCCTGATCTCCTCTGATCACAAGGCCCCTGGCCTGAAGACCAGCATTCCTCTGCCTCAGACCTGGCCTCCTGAACCTCATCGCCTCTTAGAGCCAACCTCTCCATCCCCCATTTCTGTTCCACCAGCTCAACTCACTTAGCAGCTCTGTGGACCCTGCCTGAGGTCCACATCCTGCCTATGTGGTGCTCACGGGCATCAGTGAGCACTGCTGTGTGTGCAGATGGTCTTAACGACCGTGGTAATGATGCTAACACGCAGGGGCACTCTGTGCTGGTTTCTTTGGGAGGTAGGTGGTCCTGTTCGGGTTTTGCAGCTGGAGACCATGTAGTGAGTGCAGCCCCAGAGCCTGGCTTGACCTGCCCTAGGATGCCTTCTGGGTCAGCCTAGAGAGCTGCGTGTGATGGGCTGTAGGGCACACACTGTCTGTCCTACTCATTTGCGAGCTTAAGGACACAGACTGGACTTGGTTCATCTCTGTATTCCCACAGAATTTGGAGAATGACTAAGTAAGGCCCTGTGGAAAGGATGAAGTTGGCCATTCTCACAAGGGGACAACAGCTCCACCTAGGGGCTTTTGAGTTCCTCACTGTCAACACTGGATCCAGGCTCTGTTATAAAGTAGTGTCATGTAAAAAGATGCTTAGAAAAGTGATTTTTAGACCAGTGCAGTTTTTACATGCACCAGTGACATATTAGGAAAAGGTACTTAAAGCACAAAGCCTGATGTTTCGAGTCTGTCCTTGACATTTTTCTGTTCAGCACTGGGAGCCCCCTTCTGAAGCCTAAACTCACACCTTATTCCTGTTTCTATTCTCTGCCACAGGCCCCAGAGGTTTGGCCTTTCTGTTTTCTTTTCAATAGCTACCATCACTGCCTGTGTTCCTGGGGGTGGTTCTCCCTGAGCCTTGGTGCACAGTGTGATGGAGTCTCCCAGCTGCCCCCTTCCTGTGTGTTCTTGAAGACAAGCATGTGGGCCCTTCAGTTTCAAGGTTTGATTACTAAAGACTTGAGGGAAACCATCCTGAGCGGTTGTGAAAAGGACAGGGCATGACTGAGCACAGAAAAGCTGCAAAGCCGTCAGAGTTCTTAGAACAGTAGTTCCTGAGGCCATTTTGCCTGTTAGATATTCAGCCTGCTGATTTTTTTTTTTTTTCCCATGAGGTTGGGGTTGATTTTTTTCTGTGGCTCCTTTTCCAGCCTTCAGATGAATGGACCTCCTTGTTTTTAGGTGAGGATTGGTGGTGTGTATTTTCCAAAATTCTTCTCTCAGAACTGGATCAGAACATCAGATGCGTCAATGAACCAAGCCAATAACTTATTTAATTCAAGTCACTGCTTCCTACCTCCGATAAAGCATTACATCTTATCATTGTCAAGCTACGTCAGCAAGGAAGGAGGTTGTGAAGTGGCTGTTGACAGATATGGGTCTCTATCTGCCCTTTGGGTTATTGTCCCTCTTGTCTTCCTCCTTCTCCTGAATGGTCCCCTCTCCTGCATGGCAGCTCTCCCTCCTTTTTCCCCACCAGTTGGCTTACAGACAGGCTCCCCACATCCTACCCTCTTAGATGTGAAAGCCCACTTCAGTGGAAAGTGTGTTTTGTGCTCAGTTATTCCAAGCCAGTCAAAGACAACCAAAGGTGAGGCGCAGGAATCCTAACCTGGGAGGGAAAGGGTGGAAATGTGTGCCAGTCAGCAAAGTGGATCATCCTTTCCCACGTCTTTGGACTCTATCCAGTTCCTTGTCCGTGGTATTTGAACCCTCCTCTTGACTTGATGTCAGAGTAGTAGGAATGAGTGAAGCACATGCTGTAGAGGCCCAGGGAGGGTCTGTCCTCGTATCTGATCTGCCATACGTGCTTTTAACAAGTCTCAACCAGGAGAAAGGCTAACGTTACTTGACAGATGACTGAGCTGACATTCTGACCCTGAGTCCCGTATTTCTCCCTGGGCCATGCTGCTTGCCCAGGGGTGCTCAATGCTTATGCTTCCTTGGCCTTTGGAAATGGCCTAGGTTTCCAAAGCAACGGACAGAGCCAGTTTAGGCTGGAATGAAACAACAGCTATGCATAATTTAGAGTAGTTATAAAGCCAGGCTCCTGAGATGCTCTGCCCTTTCAGTCCCTGACAGGTCTGCTACTGGCAGTGGGCAATGGTGAATATTGATTAGTAAGTATAGCTTACTGTAACCCTTAAATCAATATGGGGGAGAGGGGGAAGAGAAAGCGTTCTCACAAAGAAGAGTAAACCTGGGCAATTTTAATCTAACATGTACCATCTCCCATCACAAGATTGTCAGTCACAAAATCAAAATAAGAAAAGCCATATCCCCCATGGTCCACTGCTGTCACCAAGATTTTGGAACCACATTGGGCTCATTTGGAATTTTCTCAGGTGTAATAGTAGTAAGAAAAACAAACATAAATTAAACCAGAAGCTAACTTCATACCAAGCACCATGTCGGATGCATTTCCTACATTCCTACTTAGTCATGGCCACAGCCCTAGGAGGTGAGTAGCTGTTGTCATCACCTTTTTCTAGGCGAGGCTATTACTGACACTTGAGGAGCCTAAGGAATCCACCCAAGTTGCCCAGTGTGGCAGGGTCAGAATTTACCCTGGGTTTCCCTGGCCCTGATGAGTGCAGGTCTGTCTCGGGACTGTGGGAATGTGCACAAAAGGCCAGAGTTCGATCTCAGCACCACCACTTGCTTGTAGAGGGACGATGAGCACATTACTTAGTTTCTCCGAGCCTCAGTTTTACACCTAAAAATGAGAGCAATTACTATTGTGGAGTGTTGTTTAAAAGATCCTGGAGAATGTGTCTAGAAACCCTGGCAAAGTACTTGACTCACTGATGGTGCCATATAAGTGATAGCTGCCGCTGTTGACTGAACAGTCAGGCCCATAGAGCCTCCTTTTGTTTAAAAAAAAAAAAAGGAAAGAAAAAAGTGTAAGGGTTCTGATATTAAAGAAGTCATCTCTCCATGTGGTTTAAACTCTGATTCTACATCTTCAGGGCCTTCCCGGTGACCAGAGGCGGACATTCAATCAAGAATGTCAACCACTGAAAGAAAGCAAAGTTTTCCAGTATGTGCTCTATTCTTCTCTCCTGAGAGCTGCTTCCCAGGACTTCCCAGAGAACTCACTTCACATAGACACACGGAGCACTAGGCCCAAGAGGCAGGCTCCTTTGAGGATAATCTGCCGTTTTTTTTGTTTTTGGGGGTTTTTTGGGCAGCGTTGGGTCTTTGTTGCTGCGTGCAGGCTTTCTCTAGTTGCGGCAAGCAGGGGCTACTCTTCGTTGTGGTGTGCGGACTTCTCATTGTGGTGGCTTCTCTTGTTGAGGAGCACAGGCTCTAGGCGTGCGGGCTTCAATAGTTGTGGTGCGTGGGCTTCAGTAGTTCTGACTTGCAGGCTATAGAGTGCAGACTTAGTAGTTGTGGCGCACAGGCTTAGCTGCTCTGCAGCATGTGGGATCTTCCCGGACCAGGGCTTGAACCCGTGTCCCCTGCGTTGGCAGGCGGATTCTTAACCACTGCGCCACCAGGAAAGCCCCTGCCTTATTTTTATACCTTTACAAGTTGAGTCCCAGAGAAGCTCACCTGATGTCACACAGGGGGTTTCCACTAAAGCTGAGGACAGAGCTTGTTTTTTTTTTCCATTCTGTAACTCTACCCAGAACCAACTTGAGAATGATCAAAGATAACATTCTTCCTCTAACTTTTTTCTTTTTATCTTCTCTTACGCCAAAAGGCTTCACCCCAAAAACTGCCTGGGTGTACGCCAGTTTGCTGAGACCATGATGTGTGCCGTGCTATACGACGCGGCCAACAGCTTCATCCACCAGCACTTTGTGGAGGTGTCCGTGTCGGAAGAGTTCCTGGCCCTGCCCCTGGAAGACGTGCTTGAGCTGGTGTCTCGGGATGAGCTGAATGTGAAATCAGAGGAGCAGGTCTGTAGAGCAGTCCAGAGGTGACATGGGGGCTGCTGCTCTTTCTAACCTTTGTTTTCTGTTTTACTTTTTTCAAAATGTAGATCATGGTGTATGTGCAGCTGTTGTTTATTATGGGTTTGCTTTATCATACTGTATGCATTTTTCTTGAAAACTTTTTATACATTTTAGTGTCTAAATAATATTCAGCTGATTTTTATCAACCCTGTGACCCTCAATCTTCAATGTTCAGGTTATTTCCAAAATTTACTACTAGAAATAATGTGTCTGTGAACCAGAAATGAGCATAGATAACTTTCTGAAAGAATCTTACTCTAAAGGAGAGTAGAGCGTGGGGGCAGTTGCTGGGCAGGGGACATGAAGTCAAGAGGCTTTTGTTTTTTTTAAGATGAGAGAAATTACAGTACAGTTGGAGTGCTGATGGGAATTTTCTGGAAGAGAGGGAAGAATTGGTAATGTAGGAGAAAAGGGAGAATGGTGTCCTGGGGTAAGTGAGAAGAGACAGAGTGTAGGGCACGGGGTGTGTGTTTGAGAGGAGCTTAGGCTGTTCACATCCACGGCCACAAGAGGGAGAAGGAGAGCACATGCCCAGCGCAGGGGGAGGATGGGTGGGAAGGGAGATGCCGGGAGTTTTTATTCACACTCTCTTCTTGTTTGTTTCTGTGTTCTCAGCTGAGAGTGAGGATGAGGGAGGAATGTTAGACGTTTGAGGAGAGATGAAAAGGTATGAACCAGTCCTCTAGGAAAGGGGGAGAGTAAATGGACGAAGCTCGGGAAATGGAGAGGGCTGGATAGGAAGCAGGGCCAGATGAGATTTTCAGTCACAAGTTCAGTATGAGCTGGTCAGCCCTGTTGTGTGTTTTCTATCAGCGGCATATACTGGTGCAGGGTAGGGGGTGAATTGGATATAAAGAGCTGGACTTCACCAGGGTACAGATTTTTTTCCAGGTAAGTGTGATTAAGAGAGATAGGAGACTAGCATGGGAATAATGACCCTTGGAATCCGTGTCGGGTGAGAGAAAGGTGAGGAAATAGGCTTCAGGGGACCTGAGAGGGAGCCATGTCCAAGGCTAAGTGGAGTTGGTTGCATGGAAGAGGAGGTGAAGCTATTGGCAAGGTGAGGTGTGGGTGATCACAGGGTCCTCTGAGGACAAAGAAGACATCTTCTTGGAGCGGTCAAGAAAAGATTAAATGAGAGTGTAGGGTGTTAGTAGCCGGAGAGGAGTGAAGGACATCCTTTCTGTTCAACAAAAGTGTGGTGCAAGGTGTCTTAAGAGGACAGTGAGTCAACGTTTCTTTGAGCAGAGGGTGACGAGGACTGGGTGGTGAAGGGCGTCGGATGTGGGGTGAATTGGACCTGGCCTTGCAGGCACCCAGAGCACCACTGCGGCAAGGCCTCTGCTCATCTGGTCAGTTGATCATGAGTCCTGGCCTATCATGAAGCTGTGCCTCGGCAGAAGGAGCCCCAGGCTCCAGGAGGCAAGCCGTTGGGATGTTAGTCCCAACTCAGCTTATTTCCTTAATGTCTGAAGAGTCCTCACCCCTCCGTATTAGTGACCGTTAGAAAAGTGAACTCTGAGCTCAGCAGTGTGGGCCCTGAGATTTGTAGGAAAGAACCCCATCCCAAGAGCAAGGGGTTCTGTCCCTGGCTCTTCCACTAGGTAATATGACCCAGGGCAGCTCACATCTATTGCAGTGATGCATTCTACAAGGGCTGTGGGGCTTTAGAGGGAGATATCCTTGTGACGAGAGCCATTAGGGAAGCCTCCTTGGAGAACACGGATCTGGATCCAGGCCTTAAAAGAAATGGGAATGGGTTTAGATGGAAAGGAAGAGATGGGGGCATTCGAGGTAAAGGGGACAGCCGGCCTGGCTAGAGAAGAGGGTGCAGGAGCAATGGGAGGGAAGGTCAACAGCACTTTGTTACAGTACAGGAAGGAAGAAGGAAGCTTTGACAGGTTTTCGTTAGGAAGTCATAATGAAAGCCAGGAAGGTGTTGCAGTAACCTAGGCTTGTCTTTCAAGAGAGTGGGCTGAATGGGGTAGCTGGGGACGTGGAGAGAAAACAGTGGATTCAGGAGACAAGTAGGAGGAAAGATTGGTGGGCCCAGTGTAGGGAGCAGAGGGTTTGAGATTGGGGGGTACAGGGGTGTGGCCTCTGGGTGGAGGAGTTGCCGCCAGAGCTTCCCCTCTCTATTGTGGCAGGTCTTTGAGGCCGTGTTGGCCTGGGTCAGATACGACCGGGAGCAGAGGGGACCCTGCCTGCCTGAGCTGCTGTCCAGTATCCGCCTGCCCCTCTGCCGGCCCCAGTTCCTGTCAGACCGAGTGCAGCAGGATGACCTGGTGCGTTGCTGCCACAAATGCAGGTGAGCAGAGGTGGGCCTGCACGAGGATGATGCCGAGGGTCTGGACGGAGAAGAGAACTTGGCCACTTAGCTCGGGGGAGGAAGGATTTGGAGTGGTCGTTCTTTTTTTTTTTTTTTTTTTTTTGCGGTACGCGGGCCTCTCACTGTTGTGGCCTCTCCTGTTGCGAGAGGCCACTCCGCGGCATGTGGGATCTTCCTGGACCGGGGCACAAACCCGTGTCCCCTGCATCGGCAGGCGGACTCTCAACCACTGCGCCACCAGGGAAGCCCTGGAGTGGTCGTTCTTAATTCACAGCACACAGATTGATCTGCCTTCTGTCTAGAACCTGGAAGAGCCTGAGTCTCTCACCTTTGGGCAAAGAAATGTGCCGCATGGGAGCATCAAGGCAAAAGGGGCTTCCTCCCCTAAGTTATTTGAGGATTTTCTGGCATCTCCTTCCATTGAGCTGTTTGTGGACCTACAGGCGTCTATACTGCCTGCCCGGACCCTGTCCACACCAGCAGCTGACTTATTGGTGACTTCCTGGGGCTCCTCATCCTCTTCAGTAAACATTAGTCAGTGTGCTGGCCTCAGGTGGGTCTGCCCAGCTACAGTGATGGGCAGGGGTGGGGCATGTTTAGCAGCATGCAAAACTGTTACCCAGAGTAAATCAGAAACAACAGGGTGCAGCAGAGCCACCAAAACAGCTCAGGAGACGGCAGCCCTGTAGAAGGATTGTTATAAAAGTAGAGCAGCAGAGGAAAATACGCATCTTCCTTCAAGCTGCTCTTCATATTCACAGCTGGTTCAGGAGGGAGTCAGTGGCGTGGTCCACGCAGCGTGAAAGTGTGTGTGTCAGGGAGGGGTGGAGGTGTGGCTGGAGGTAGCTGAGACCCTGTGAGGAGCAGTCTCAAGGGTGCTGTTGGGGGAGTTTGAGCTTTGTTTTGTAGGCAGTGGGCAGTTTTCGAAGGGTCTTAGAAAACCAGCTTGGACCCCAGTGTGGAGGCTGGAATGGAGGGGTGAGGCTGGAGGCAGGGAGGTCTCTCAGGAGCAGTTGGCTTCTGCTGCCACAGTCCGGGTGAGATGGTTAATTGCTGGATGTGAGCCATAGGGATGGAAAGGAAGAGCTGGATCTGAGTGGCAGCAGGATGCGAGCAGCTTGTTGAACCTCCCCAAGGCTAGCTATTTTAGGGAACACCCTGTTTTTCTTCTGTTAAACTAACAGAGATGGGCTCTGCTCATCTTGCCCCTCCAATGCTGAGCATGTCCCAATAGCTGTGTATAGTTTCCCCTGGACTCACCTGGGTTCTTTGAGACCAAACCTTCCAGAAGGCTTCTCCTCCCATGTTTCCCCTGCAGTTGTGGTTGGGGGAGCCAGGCTCAGACCTACAAGTGTGGGCCAAGTGGAGAGAATACCTCCTGTCCTAGCATCTTGCACTTTATTCCAGGGACCTGGTGGATGAAGCAAAGGACTATCACCTCATGCCAGAGCGCCGGCCCCACCTGCCAGCTTTCAGAACTCGGCCTCGCTGCTGCACATCTATCGCTGGGCTCATCTATGCCGTGGGGGGCCTCAACTCAGCAGGTATCTTGCAGCTCCCCTTTGTAGAACCCTGTCTTGGATGCCGTGGTTGAAGAAGCACCAAACAACCTAGCCTGGCCCTCTGCTTCCTCCCCCTTGATGTCACCACCTTTATCCCTCTTGATTTTATATAATTGTTCTGCAGTTAGCACATGTCAGATATTAATACCATTGAAGCAGAATATCAATGCAAAAGGGACCTCTAGAACCCCAGAGGCCTGGCCCCCTTCCTTCACAATGGGGACGTCGAGGCCCAGAGAACTTTAGCTATGTTCACACAAGTCTTTTTTCTGAGCAAGGACTAGAACTCAGGTCCTGGTTCCTGAGCCTGCACTCTTCCCCTAATATCACGTCACCTATGGGATTTACTCAGCTTTGGATAGGATATAATCAGAGACCCAATTCTGTTACCAGGCTAATCACATTCGGTCATGTGGATCTCTGGACTTAGACTGTGAGAGTGTCACCGTAAGAAGGAAGATCCTCCAAATACGCACGGTCTGCACTATCAATACTTTTTACTCTTCACCTCTTACCTCCAGTGAAACCCACATGCCTTGTAGTCCGTGTATTATTGGCAGTTCTTGTATCATACAGTCAAGTTTTCAGGAAACCTCCATGGGGCACCCCCACTCCTGCCCACCCCAGGCACCACTGCAGGGCAGTAGCAGTCTAGGAGAGGGCAGGGGAGACACCTGAAACCTTGCAGTGCAGTGGCAAAGGGAGTCGTCACCTCGGATGTGAAGGCCAAGCCTTTTCAGAGTCAGCCCAAGCTTGTGGGAGGTGGGGAGCTGGTGGGAGGTGGGGAGCTGGTGGGCAGTCCTGGGCAGTTTCGTTTTTAATTGAAAGTTAATGGGAGGTGGGTACTGGCCTACGCTACTTGTTAACCATATGACCTGGAAAAGGTAAGTCCTCAACTAGTAAATGCTAGAGCATGGCAGGTGCTGAGTGTCCCAAAGCAGAATAAAACAGGGAGGGGGTTATTTTATTTGATCTTAAAAAACTGATGAAAACGGTAGGGTTGGAGTTATTATTCCTTGCTTCTGTGACTACTATGTATTGAGCACTTGGTATATTCTAGAACTGTGCTAGGTGTTTTACATATTATTTAATCCTCATGGGAACTCTGCTATGGAGATTATTTCACATGTGAGAACAGAAGATGGGGACACAAAGCAGCTTGCCCAGGGTCACCGCTAGGAAGTGAGAGTCGCATTGGAAGCCATCTCCTGCTCTGTGTCGGGGAAATAGTGGTTCCATTTGCCTTCACCTCTGCCTTTAAGCAGGTGAAGAACCTCCTTGCAACTTAAAACTGCCCTCTCTAGAAAGTAAATAAATGCCTCCTGTCTGATTCTGATTTTCCTTAAAGAATTAAGTTTGAGGTTGTCATGGCTGCAGTTTCTTAGTGGGCCCTCCCGGCTTGAGTAATTGCGGGAAGAGCTGATAGGACGAAGTTGAACATTCCGTATAATCATTGCGCAACAGCTGTGATCTAAACGAGCGGTCTCATTTGTTTTAATTTGAGTAGCAAATTTTTATGCAGGTGATTCCCTGAATGTGGTGGAAGTGTTCGACCCCATCGCCAATCGCTGGGAGAAGTGCCATCCCATGACCACAGCCCGCAGCCGTGTCGGTGTGGCCGTGGTGAACGGACTCCTCTATGCCATCGGGGGATATGACGGCCAGCTGCGGCTGAGCACTGTGGAGGTCTACAACCCAGAGACGGACACGTGGACCCGTGTGGGGAGCATGAATAGCAAGAGAAGGTATTCTGGGAGCCGGTCTGTACATCCTGAGCATACATACCAGGCATCTGGGGGACACCATGCTAGACAAGCAGGGCACATTATAAAGTAGACGCTAGCTTCAGCCTGGGGATCCCCTGCAGCCAGGCCAGCCACTGCCCGTACCTCCTGGAAGCCAGCCCCCATCTGCTTAAAAGTAAAACCCCTGCCTTGTCCTTTGAGGAACTTGGGGAGACAAGACAGGGAAGACAGGGACGTGTGGAAGTTGTATTATTATTTAAGTGCCAGGTAAGAACTAAAGGTTTGTATTATGGAAGATGCGAGGCAGGAGAGAAGCTGGACTGGAACATCTGGAAGATTTCAGGGAAGAGATGAGATTAAAGTTGAAACCTGAAGAATAAGGAGGATTTAACTTTATTAGTCATAAAAGGGAATCCGAGGTGTTCCTCTTTATACTTTCTTTCCCCCAGGATCCCTGCCCCACATGTGCTTTCACTACCAGGGAGTGTGTGAACTACAACAATGCTCTTTACTTCTGGATGCCACACGTCCCCCAGGCATGAGCACACAGCTAGTTGTGAGGTGGACTGAATTTATGTCTCTTTTTTTTTAAATAAAATTTTTAATTAATTACTTTATTTATTTATTTATTTTGGGCTGCATTGGGTCTTCGTTGCTGTGCGCAGGCTTTCTCTAGTTGCGGCCAGCCTTACTCTTCCTTGCGGTGCGCGGGCTTCTCATTGCGGTGGCTTCTCTTGTTGCAGAGCGCAGGCTCTAGGCGCGCGGGCTCTAGAGCGCAGGCTCAGTAGTTGTGGCACACGGGCTGAGTTGCTCCGTGGCATGTGGGATCCTCCTGGACCAGGGCTCAAACCCGTGTCCCCTGCATTGGCAGGCGGATTCTTAACCACTGCGCCACCAGGGAAGTCCCGAATTTATTTCTCTTAACGCCTTCCAGCCACTTGTCTCCTCCTGCTCACATTTCCTGAGTAAGAAAACATAGTGCCTCTATTTAGTCTTCTTAGTGCCAAAGTGACTGGCAGCATCCTTCCTTATGTCAGCTGTGTGTGGGGTATTGTCATGGTTGGACGGCAGGAGCTTTGGAGGGGGAGAGTGTAACTGGACAGGCTCTGTGTTCTCCTACCCTTGGGGTAGCCGCCCCAGATTGTGGTGTTTTGTTTGTTTGTTTGTTTGTTTTTGGCTGCGTTGGGTCTTCGTTGCTGCACGTGGGCTTTCTCTAGTCGCGGCATGTGGGCTTTCTCTAGTCGCGGCGAGCCGGGGCTTCTCTTCGTTGCGGTGCGTGGGCTTCTCATTGCGGTGGCTTCTCTTGTTATGGAGCACGGGCTCTAGGCGCACGGGCTTCAGTAGTTGTGGCGCACGGGCTTAGTTGCTCCATGGCATGTGGAATCTTCCTGGACCAGGGCTCAAACCTGTGTCCCCTGCATTGGCAGGCAGATTCTTAACCACTACGCCACCAGGGAAGCCCCCAGATCATGGTTTCAGATGACGCTCTGATGTTTCTCTTCCGAAACTAACGGAAGATAGGACAGCCATCCAAGGCCCCATACCTGTTTAACCAGAACGGCTCTGCGTTTATCCCTTTTATGTATTGAGCTTCCTTGACATATGCCCAACTTTAGGAGGAAAAAGTTAAATGAAATTTTTTTTTGAAAGGGGCAGTTCGAAAACCACTGGACCAGTTGCCCTTTAAAGGCCTTTCTGCTTTGTAATTCTCTCGTCTGAGTATTTGCCTTACAGACCCCTTTGTCTGGCCATGATTTGGGTTTTCTACTTGTAAGATCACATGACCGCCAAAAAAAAAGATCAAGTCACTGCATGTGGTCAGGAAGAAGAGTCATGTTGCAGTGTGGAAGTCCTTTGCCACATGAAACTGTCACACGAAACTGTCACACATGGTCCGTGATACACATGGTGTATCACGTTCAGTAGTGTGTGTTTGTGGCCTTGAGCAGGGGGGAATCTGCCTTTGTACCAGTAAGATTCACAAAAGGCCAAAGTAGCTTTGTTTCTGGAAGAAAAAATATGTATATAAGATCTACTCCTCCCGAAGCCGTAAGCTACACTCTCATGGTTCCTTCCTCCCCCCACCCCCCACCTCTGCTTCCGTACTTCCCCTTCTTGCTCCTTGGATACTTTGCAGCTTTCTGTGGCCTCCAATGACTCACTGCTCCATATATATCCCCAACCAGGAGGGCCTTTTTCACTTTGATGTCAATCAGTTGTTCTTCATTGTGTGTCTGCTCTGGGCCACTTGCTAGCTGTGATGTCACAGGGTTTGGAGTGCTGCCTGGGAGGAGCCCTCCGGGTAGCCCTTTCCCTCACTGTGGTTAATGCCCTGTTATTAGTAGTGTGGGCCCAGCTCCATTTCGTCCCCTTTAAATTACAGGCTACCTTAAAATGTTCATAGTCACTTCTCCCCTGATGAACCACACACCCTCTGTCCTGCCAGTTGGTGACAGCCTCCTTTCTGCCGTCATTCCCTGTCCTTCTCCAGTCTTCCAGGCTGCTTGCGTGGAGCCTTCTCCCATGCCTTATCCAGTCCACACTGGTCAGCATTTCTTCCCCTTGTCTCTTCACACTGTCTTTACTGTTTCATTGATAGTTAATCTCACACAGTTTTGTGGCACCTCTCAATTCTTCCTCACATTTTTGTTGAACTCCTAAATTGTTACTTTTGTCCACTTCTAGAAGGATAGTGACATGTCTAGTGAGGTTGTGACCTTCCCACAGTCCTCTCCCAAGGCAGGTCCTTTTCCTCTTTCAGGCTGGTTCAGGGACATCGTGTGTATCACTTTGATTTGCTGTGTACATTTGAAAGGGGGCTATAAAGCCTGGTATAGTTTATCTTCCTATTTGTTAGGCACCCAGATTCATTTTTAATCTTCTTCAGCATCAGGTTTGAAAACAGTGAATCGGGCAGCTTGGCATTCATGTTTAAGTTTTCATGAGGCTTTATGTAGAAGATTCTTAGGAGAGCTTGGCATGATGAACAGTGTGGGAATCAGACTTGTGTCATTGAAATCTAAGGCATGCCTCTCTGGGCAGCCCTGAGAGGATAGCCCAGACTCCCCAAGCCACAGCTACTCATCTATACAGTGGTGATGGTGATGCTTCATGCAGGATGTGGTGAGAGTGGAAAATAGCAAGTGTGGAGCACCTGATGTGTGTAGTAAGTACGAAACAACCAGAAGCTGTTGCCTCACCCACTAAGACAAATTAGGGGACGTGCAGGGCCGTGTATGTAATGAAAAGATGTCTGTCAAACTTTATAGTGAATTGCGTGGGAAAATCAAGGTAACACAACAAACGTATGTTGAGGGCTTGTTACGTACAAAGCACCACATTAAGTACTGTCAGGGTCACACCGGTAGAGACCCCAGTCTTCCAGGAGGTCCCCACTTGTTAAGAGGTGGCAGGTCGATTCCTGGTATCCTGTGGGCAGGAGTCTGGCTTGCTCAGTTCTCCACACCTGGTGCGTGGGACAGTGTGCCTCATGAGGGCCTGATGAAAACGTGCTGAACGAATGGATGACTGACAGGAGCTGTGATAAAGGAGCTGTTCTGGGAGTGTGGGGTTAGGAGGGAGTAATTCTTGCTGGGCAATGCAGGATGGCTTTTGGAGGAGGAGAGAGAGGAATTTGGCCTGGGCCTTAAAGGTAAATCAGACCCTGAGCACGGCAGGGCAGAAGATGAGCATATCAGGGACTGAGGAGGAGGGAGAGGAAGTAACCCCAGGCAGGGGGGCGGGAGGCAAGAGGAACCACAGGGCAGCTCCTTTCCCCTCAGTGTTACACTTTGCTTAGTCACATTCCTGGGATTTAGGTCTGTTCTAGAAAGAGGCAGTTGGGGGCTAGGTTTACTTCTCAGTGAGCGTGAGAGGTTGCCCCAAGAAATCTGAGGCCCACCGGGATGACACCTCTGTTTCAGTGCCATGGGGACGGTCGTGCTGGACGGGCAGATCTACGTCTGTGGTGGCTATGATGGCAACTCTTCTCTCAACTCTGTGGAGACCTACTCACCTGAGACGGACAAGTAAGGACTCCAGCTCCCCTGGGGCAACTGAAGCTTGCTAAACAGAGTATGAAAAATCAGAACTGCAGTCTTTTAATCATGCTTCTAAGGATAGGGAATATCTCACCTATTTAGCCTCTGTAGTACCTTGCATATAATAGGCATTTAATAACCTTTGGTTAAATGAATGAATGATTAACTAAATTCTGAAAACAGTCTGCTTAGATACTTGGAAACAGTTATTAATGCTCTGTACCTCTTAACTAAATCAGCGCATTTTAATAGAAATGCAGGTGAAAAGGGATGAGAAATAGATGAACAGCCCTTTCCAAAGTGGGTAGGATAGGATTTGGGAAAAAAAAGTTACATTTCAGATACTCAAAGAAGCTTGGGAAGCATCGATGTCTGTACCACCAGAGGCCTCATCTTCCCATAATACATATTACTATTTTAAAGACTGAAAAATTATGCGGCAGAGAAACCTCTTTAACTTCATTTTATCTAACACCTATCACCATCTGGTGGACTTATTTTGCGGAACACTCTTTGGAAAACACTGGCAAGGTTAGCCCGAGTTCTTCATTTCAGTATTTGAATCTGCTTTTACTATAACAATATAAGCACATTAGTAGAATGGATTCATCACAGTGCTTTTAAGCCAATATTCCATTCACTTAACCAACTTACTATGTATCGGGCAGCGAGCAGGGTGTCTCAGATCCTTAAGTAGCACCTAGTCTGTTGGGGCCACAGCACAAGGTGATCGTCCTCCCTTGGGTGCCTATGTCTAGAGCTCTTGGGCACAGAGTGGGGAGGGCTCTCATCTTCCCTACAGCTTGGGGGGAGAGTCAGGTTGCAGAGATGTCTTCTAAGGGGAGACCCATCGTGGATAGTGGGAGACGTGCATCCCAGGTGGGGGGACAGCAGGAAGAGAGGCTTGGAGATAAGAAAGAGCTGTGTGTGGTTGAGGAGCAGGTGTGGGTGGCGCATGGCAGGAGGCGAAGCTGGAAAGTGGATGAGGACCAAGTGGTAAAGAACCACATTAAGGAACTTGGACTCTGCCTTAGAGGAAACAGGAGTCCTCACTAGAGGACGTGCTGTGCAGGATCGGAATGGGGATGTTCTGAAAGCCAGGCCACCTGTAAGGGGACTGTTGCAGTAGTCCAGTGAGAGGCCAGAGCTAGGGCAGCAGTAGTGGGATGGGGACAAGCAGTGACTAGGAAGCAAACCAGGGGGGTCGTGGTGACCACAGAATGTTGAGGATGACGGAGAAGAGGTCATAAAAATGCTGAGATTATAAGTATAGCAACTAGGTAGCTAGTGGTCCCATTATCGAGACCAGGGAGTGTGATGGAGGAGCAGATCTGTCAGAGACGTCTTGCTTGGGCAATGCTAATTTTGAGTGCCGGCAGAGATGACCAGCTATGGGCCCGAAGCTTAAAGTGAGAGGCGGCAGCCAGAGTGAGCCCTTAGCAGAGGTGGTGTGGGAGGCGATAAGAAGTGGGGAGATTGTCCAGGGTGAGACGGAGCACAGCACAGTTCCCCTGAATCCTTCTAAGCTGTCTTGGGAGGACAGGAACACCAAATCTCATGGCTCCCCTTCTACTTTGCCTCTTTCCTGAAGGTGGACTGTGGTGACCCCGATGAGCTCCAATCGCAGTGCTGCAGGGGTTACAGTCTTTGAGGGCAGGATATACGTGTCGGGCGGCCATGACGGTTTGCAGATCTTCAATAGTGTGAGTCTGGGCTCCTCCTGGGCTAAGGGCACCCACTCTTGTTATCTTTGCGAGTTATTTTGAAAGGATATTCTTTGGAAAAAGCCTCAGCCTTGCCATTGCTAGGTAAGGTGTCATCTAGAGGCCTCAGGCCATCTGCTGCATGCTCCGAAATGCTTCCAAGAATGGGAACCAGTGTGCACAAAGGAGAGAGGTAGGGTGTGGCCATACCACCCACACCCCCACCCTGTTCAGTTCCCCAGCGGATGCTGCGTGAGACCCGGTGAAATTCCTGCCCAAAGTAAGCCCAGTCATATAAAGAGGGTGAATTTTCAAATAGTTGCATTCTTCTGGATAATTTGTTTGAAACTGCATTTATTCTTTTAAAAAAATCTCAAGAGCCACTTGCTGGTCACTCCAAAGTCAGTCAATGCTGTGAGGGAACACACTGTGCACGGATCTCAGGAGACCCTACTCTCATCCCAGCTCTGTCACTACATAGCAGTGCATCCTGGGCAACTCCTTGATTTGTTTCCTCAGGTGTAAACAGAACTGGTCAGGTTAGGCCATCTCTCTCTCATCTGTCCCTATAAGCCCACGAGCAGGTGCGCAGCTGAGGAAACTGGGCATCAGGGGCAGAGCACACACTGGCAGAGCTCCTTGTCCCCAGGCCTCCCCCTGGGACCTGATGCCAGGTGGGCCACCGGTGACCAAGCTTTGGCTTTGACTGAGCCTGCACCTGTCTCCCCGCTGCAGGTGGAGCACTACAACCACCACACAGCCACCTGGCACCCGGCGGCTGGCATGCTCAACAAGCGCTGCCGGCACGGAGCTGCATCCCTGGGAAGCAAGATGTTTGTGTGCGGGGGCTACGACGGCTCAGGCTTCCTCAGCAGCGCTGAGGTGTATAGCTCTGTGGCGGACCAGTGGTGCCTGATAGTCCCCATGCACACACGCCGGAGCCGGGTCTCCCTGGTGGCCAGCTGTGGGCGGCTCTACGCCGTGGGGGGCTACGATGGACAGTCGAACCTGAGCTCGGTGGAGATGTACGACCCAGACACGGACCGCTGGACGTTTATGGCCCCCATGGCATGTCACGAGGGAGGGGTCGGTGTGGGCTGCATCCCTCTCCTCACCATCTAAGGCGAAGGGTGGGATGTGGTGGAGTAGGGATCTGGTACAAACACAGGCACTTCCTTCCAGGGTTAGTCCCCCTCGGAAGAGGTGGTGGACCAGAAGACAGGGTGAAATGTGAGCTCGCCAGAGGTACAGTTTTCCAGGTGCTTAAGTCCTCCCTCCCTGTGCAGCCCTTGTGACCTTCAGGCCTAGGTCATCAAGATGCACAGCGTGGGACAGAAGCCCCTCTGGGTCCCACAGCTGGTGACACAGGACTGCTTTGCTGGTCCGCATGTCCACAGGCTCCATCCAAGCCCAGCTCCCACCTGCCACAGCTCTGTGGGTCGCCCATCTGCAGAGTGTCTTCCATCTGACACTCCTTGCCTACTGCTTGCCAGCTGTGTTGTGGCCAGTTTGCGATGGGGTGGCTTCAGTGGCCAAGCGTGTTGGAAACTGTGGGGTGTGGGTGGGAGAGGAGGGACACAGGCCAGGTTGTCCTCACTGCGAGGCTGCAGCCATGGCAGTGCTGGTTGCACACACGTACCTCCTCCTTCCATCCGAGCGCACCGAGAATTTTGTCTGCATTGCTGAGTAAGCACGAAGAACAGAAGCTTTTCCTGTGTCTAATTTTGGGATTTCAGCGAGGTCTTTTTCATCTTGTTCAGGAGAAACAGAGGGAGAGGATAAAAGATACTTGAAAGAAACTGAAGGAAAGTTAAAGAAACACTTGAAAGAAACTGAAAAGAAAAATAATTTTTTAAAGTGAACATTTTTTTGCAAGAAGAAAACATAAAAGACACTAGAGGCAAATATGTGTTTAAATGGAAAACCACCCAACGTGAAAAGGGTGGTATCCGCTCCCACATTCGGATCCCAGGGTCCTAAGGCCTCGCATGGCACTCGGGGTTCCCTCTGAGCCCCTGTGTGTCCAGAATCAGTGCGCACTCGACCAGTCCTGTAGCAAGGTGCTCGTGGGGTTTGTCTTCACACCCACTATCAGAGGACTTTTTTAATCGTAGGCTTAGCGAGTTGGCTAAGTTATTGCCACTCTTCTAGGTGGGAGCTCCCAGCTTGTCGCTGGAGGCTCCAGATGCCCCTGTGGTTATCTCCCACTGCCACCATGGCACTCATGCAGATTCCCACCCCACTTTCATTCCTTCCTTGTTTGACCAGCAGGAAACAGCAGGTCTGGCCAGATTCTCATTTGCCCATCTATCATTCTTGGATAGTTTTCTTCATCATGATGCTTCTGAGGTACATTGACCATTTGTACCTCTAGAACCTAACCAGAGACTTGGTCCTTCCACCAGCCACGGCTGGCTTGGTCCAGTAACCATATCTACCCTGCCAGTCCGCTGCTCCTCCATCCACTCGCCAATTCCAGGGGTCTGGTCTCCCCTCCAGCCCTTGGCAGACTGACCAGCAAGGTGGACCTTTATATTCTAGCAAAGCTGGCTTTATGACATAAAGAACTAAAAGCCGAAAGAATCTCTTGCTGCTGCAAAGAACAGATTTTATATTTCTTCCTATGATCTTAGCTAATGACCTCTTGAAGAGACTCCATGCTCCTCCTTCCTCCTCCCTGGATGGGACCTTGATGCTGCACAGTGGGACCCCAACAGGAGGACTCTTCTCTTACCAGTGCACTGGGCAGTGGAGCTGTCCTTCAACTGCTGCTGCCAAAATTTGGTTTTCCAAAATTCTTCCAGTAGAGACTAAAAGAGGATACATTTCCAATGCAAGATTGGGTCTCAGGGTCCCAATCTCTACTTGGTTGGTCTCCTGCCCATCGCTGCCTGCCTGGGTGTCCTGGAAGCCTGTTCAGAAAGGCACCATGTGACACCTGAGACGTCTCTCCTACCCTGGGACTGTGAGGTTTACCAGTGTGTGCAATCGCCATGTTTCCAGAGGGAAGTACCTTTGTTACCTGCCACTTAGGAGCTGGGCCTCTGCTAAAAGCACTTGAAAATGATGTTTTTATTTTAAAAGACTTAACAATCTGATATAGTTGAGCCTGGGCTTGTGGTAGAGCTCTGGCATTTCTCGCTCCCTGTCGGTTTGCCTGTTAGAGGTAGACTTGGAAGGAGGGTGGGGTCTGTTATTCCTGTTAGAGAGGAGTTATCAGTGCTTGTCTTCTTATTATAAGCCCCTTTCTTTTGTGAATTTGCAACAGCACTGACAAACCTGGGTTGTGAATGTGTAAAGAATCAACCAGTGGACCTCACCAGGTCCTTAGGATGCTGACCCAGATTTTGCCATTGGGGTTGAGAGATCATTTTCCCATGATCTGCTGCTCTTGTGATAGCCTTCCTACATCTACTCCCACCTCCTGGTGTAGAAGTTACACTGCTCCACCTGGGGTCAGTGTTTCCAAGTAAGATGAAGCCAGTGCCTTGATCTGGGCTCTGAGCTCAAGTGAGCAAACACTAACATTTTCACACTCTCCACAGTTGGTTCTCAGTCTGACGGTGATGACTGTTTACAGGTGGCTGGTCTGACCCTTTGGTGTTGGAGCCTTTCCAGTAAAACCATGAAAAGAAGAGATGCCACCCATAGGTATTGTGAAAAGGGTATAGGGCAGATACTGTGGACAGTGAACCTTGGGGTCCGGCCCAGCTCTGAGCAGAGGACTGTGGCATTCGCTGTCCTAGGGTATTTCCCCTTAGATAACACGAGTAACCTTCTCTTCTGGGTTTCATCCAAGAGCAAAGCCAGGATGGGAGCTGAAGTCCAGCCTTTTGACTTGGCCACAGAGATGTGAGTAGGTAGGAATTCCGATTCCCCCTCCCCCCAATTTATTGTTTCCCAGAAAAATCTTAATTCCTTTTATTTATAGAACGCATGTCTTTTGTGTTAAGAAACCAAAGAGAAATAAAGAGTACACTCCTAATATCTTCTTGCCCTTTCCTGATTTTATTTTTTTTAAATTAGAGGTAAATCATATTTTTATCGTAATTCAGTGAAAAAATATTGGACAAAGTGAAAATATTTCTGTGAAATTAAGGAAAAAGCCCAATAGCATGGCAAAAGTAGTCTTTGGAGAGACGTGTATATTTTATGAGAATGGGTTCTGATGAAAAATATATGCAAAAGACTTCATGAGCGTGTTGCATATTTGCTCCTGTCCGGATCACCACTTCTCTTGGATTTCCCCCTTTCTTCACTCCCTGCCATAAAACTCCTAGAGTTCCTAAGTGGAATGTGACTGCCTGGGACCACCTGGAGCCAAAACCCCCAGCTCCTTTTTTATACCTCCAAGCCAGAGGTGCTTAGCTTTGGTGTACATAGAAGTCACTGGAAATTTTTTAAACCACAGATTGACTTGTAGAACCCTCCCCAGAGACCAATTCCCTAGGGCTGGGGTGCAGCTCAGGCCGTTGTGCAGGCAAGTTTCCACCATGGTTGGTATGCTCATCCCAGTGTGAGAACCAGACTCCAGTGTTTAGTTTCCTCTTTCCCAGATACAGCCACATTCCAGATCTGCCTTCCTGAGATTGCATCCTGGTTACTGTGGTGGTGGATTTTAGGAAACTCTTCATGCACACTTTTCCAAAAGTCAGTTTATGGTCAGCCTCATCCAGTGGGTAATGATTGTACTCTTGGATGACAACTTTTTGTGTGTGTGTGGCTGTGTTGGGTCTTCGTCACTGCACATGGCCTTTCTTTAGTTGCGGCGAGCGGGGGCTACTCTTCGTTGCAGTGCGCGGGCTTCGCGTTGCGGTGGCTTCTCTTGTTGCGGAGCATGGGCTGTAGGCACACGGGCTTCAGTTAGTTGTGGCACACGGGCTCTAGAGCACAGGCTCAGTAGTTGTGGCTCACGGGCTTAGTTGCTCCGCGGCATGTGGGATCTTCCCAGACCAGGGATCAAACCCGTGTCCGCTGCATTGGCAGGCAGATTCCTATCCCCTGCACCACCAGGGAAGCCCTGGATGATAACTTTTTAAAAACGTTTTTGGAAGGGTATGTCACTCCCACATACACCCCCTCAGCATGTTTCACATATAAACACTGTTGATTCTCACTTGGTCCTCTTAGTAACCTCTGTGCAATAGGTGACATAGCTCATTTTAACATACATTTTCTCAGAAGGGCTGAGTAACTGACCTGATTCATCAACTAACTGGTAGTATCGTCAAGAATGGAGACCAGATCTCCACATTCACAGTCCAGTTCACCTGAGGAAAGCAGTGTCTTCGTCCTCTGGAGCAGCTGATTCATCCAGCCTCCATGCCCCGAGTGTGGAGGTCTGCTGCCCAGTACTGTGATGGCCTTCGAGAAGCAGACTGAGCAGCGAGAGAAAGAGAAGAACCCTGTTTGGATTATGGAAACAGGTACCTTTGTGTGGAAAAAAAGGAAACCAGATTATCTGTGGGCTCTACTGTGGGAGAAAGGTCAAATGCCTCTAAAGTATTAACAGCCCTTTCCATGTAGCCTACACCCCTTTGCTCAGAACCAAAGAGCTCATGGGTAGAGAGTGGACCAGTGAACTTTAGCTAGACTCATCTGCTTGACTGTCCATTTCTTTGCTGTTGTTGTTCTTTGAACTCTGCTTTCCCAACTAGCAGCAGAGCCCACTCCTCTTCACCCCAAAGATCAACAGTACTGGTTTTTACTGCTGCTCACAATAACATAACATTACCCAATGGAAAAATGGCAAGGGAATCTCACAGTTCTTACAGAAATTATCCCAGGCTTACTGTTTCCTATTTCATCTCTAGTGATACACAAATGTTTTCCTCTAATGGAGCTCAGTTCCCTATTTAATTCTCTTTTTTTAGGTTTGCAGTTCAGGATAAAAACCCAAACTACCTAGCATGGCATAGAAGGCTGCTGTGGTCTGGCATCTCTGGTCAGCCTAGTACTTCTCCTCCATGCTTGTCCCTGACTGTATCCCGGCAGGGCAGTGGCCTGTTTGCTTGTCTCAGCCACTAGATGGTGAGCTCCTTAAGAGTCTCCACTATTGTGTACCAACACCAGACACATGGAAGAGACACAACCATTATGTTTCTTGACGAACTTGAGGTCAGGTATAGCCAGATTCAAAGTTCACCTAATCATGCTTCCTAGTTTCCCTTTGTTTTGCATCACTGTTGGTTTTTTTTTTTTTTTACAATTTTATTGAGGTATAATTTACATACCTTAACATTCACTCATTGTAAGTGCAGTTCAGTAGTTTGTAGTAAATGTGCAGAGTTGTGCAACCATTACCACTACCCCATTTTATACTATTTTCATCAATCCATAAAGCTTCCTCGTGCCCATACACAGTCCCCATTCTCACCCCTGTCCTTGGGCAACCACCATTTTGCTTTCTGTCTCTATAGATTTCCCTGTTCTAGATGTTTCATATAAATGGAATCATACAATATGTGTTCTTCCGTGTCTGGCTTCTTTCCTTAGAATAATGTTTTTGAAATTCATTCATGTCATAGAATATATCAATAGTTCTTTTTATTTTATTGTTCCTGAATAGTATTCCACTGTATGGATATACCACATTTTATTTATCCTTTTTTTTTTATCAGTTGGTGAATATTTAGATTGTTTCCAGTTTAGGGCTTTTATGAATAGTACTGCTATTATGTACAAGTTTTTGTGTGACATATATTTTCATTCCTCGAATATATTCCTAGGAGTGGAATTGCTGGGTCATACGTACGGTAAGTTTATGTTTAACCTTTTAAGAAACTGACAATTTGCATTTCTCTAACAACTAACGGTTTTTGAGCATCTTTTCATGTTCTTGTTAGCCATTTGTCTATCTGTAGTAAAATATCTACTGAAAACTTCCCCATTTTTAAATTGGGTCATATGTCTTATTGAGTTAAAGAATTCTTCACATATTCTGGATACAAATTCTTTATCAGATAAATGATTTGCAAATATTTTCTCCCAGTCTGTGGCTTGTCTTTTTATTTTCCTAATAGTGTCTTAATAATGTTGTAGAAGTTTTTAGTTTTGATTAAGTTTAGTTTTATCAGTTATTTCTTTTATGAATTGTGCTTTTTGGTGTGATATCTTAAGAGCTTTTGCCCAACCCAAGGTCATGAAGAAATTCTTCTAGAAGTTTTATAATTTTAGCTCTTGTGTAGGTGTATAATCCATTTGAGTTAATTTTAGAATTCATCTTTTTTTGTGCGTGGATATCCATTTGTCCCAGCACATTTGTTGTAAAGGCTATCTCTTCCTCCATTGACTTGCTTTGGTACCTTTGTTGAAATCAGTTAACCATAAATATAAGTGTTTACTTCTACTTCTAGACTCTCAATTCTGTTTCATTGATCTCTATGCCTGTCCATGAGCCAATACCACACTGATTGTATGCTACTGAGTTTTCCAGCTTTAAAGTAAGTCTTAAAATTAGATAATGTAACTTCTCCAACTTTGTTCTTTTTAAAAATTCTGTTGAATATTTTAGGTACTTTGCATTCCCATATAGCTTTTATAGGTCAGCTTGTCAATTTCTACAAAAAGTTTTCTGGGTTTTTAATAGATATTGTGTTGAATTTATAGTTCATTTGGGGAGAATTACTATACTGACAATACAAAGTCTTCCAATCCATGAACATGGAATGTCATTTGTTCAGATCTCCCTCTGTTTCTCTTAGCAATATTTTGCCATTTTTGTTGTATGAGTATTGCACTTCCTTCTGTTAAATTGATCCTAAGTATTTTTGTTTTTATGCTGTTGTGGATGGAAGTGCTTGCTTAATTTTAATTTGGGGTTTTTTTTGGTGCTAGTATATAGAAATACCGTTGTTTTTTTGTATATTGATCTTATATCCTGTGACCTTGCTAAACTAATCTATTAGTTTTTCTTTTCTTTTTTTTTGGCTGCGCCACATGGCTTGAGGGATGTTCCCCAACCAGGGATTGAACCCGGGCCATAGCAGTGAAAATGCCGAAACCTAACCACTAGACTCCCAGGGAACTCCCTATTAGATTTTATCTTTTAAAATCAAAGATTGTATATGTGTATTCCTTGGGATTTTCTACATGCATGATATGTCATCTGTGAATAAAGACAGTTTCACTTTTTTTCTTTCCAATCCGGAAGCCTTTAATTTTTTCCTGCTTTGTTGCACTGGCTAGAATCTCCAGTACAGGGAGTTCCTTGGTGACCTAGTGGTTAGGACTTGCCGTGGCCCAGGTTCAATCCCTGGTTGCAGAACTGAGATCCTGAAAGCTGCGTGGCCTGGCCAAAAAAAAAAAAGAACCTCCAGTACAATGTTGTGTAGAAGTTGCACAAGTGGACATTCTTGCCTTGTTCTCAGTCTGAGGGGGGAAAACGTTAAACATTTAGTCCTTCACCATTAAATATGTTAAGCTGTGGATTTTTTATCAATGTCTTTTTTCAAGTTGAAGAAGTTTTTTTTGTCTGTTTGTTTGTTTGCGGTACGCGGGCCTCTCACTGTTGTGGCCTCTCCCGTTGCGGAGCACAGGCTCCAGATGTGCAGGCTCAGCGGCCATGGCTCATGGGCCCAGCCGCTCTGCGGCATGTGGGATCTTCCTGGACCAGGGCGCGAACCCGTGTCCCCTGCATCGGCAGGCGGACTCGCAACCACTGCGCCACCAGGGAAGCCCTGAAGAAGTTTTTGTCATGAATGGGTTTTAGGTTTTATCAAATGCTTTTCCTGTACCTATTGAGATCATCATGTGGTTTTTGTCCTTTAAGCTGTTAATATGTATATAATACTAATTGATTTTCAAGATGTTGACCCAACATTGAATTCCTGAGATAAATCTCACTTAGTAATGGTGTGTAATCCTTTTTATGTTGCTGGATGGTTTGCTGATTTTTTAAGAGTAATTTCTGCATCTGTGTTCACTAGAGAGCTATTTTCTGTAGTTCTCTTTTCTTGTGATGTCTTTGGCCTTTGATACTGGCCTTA